TCCTTTATTATTAAATTCGGTCCGTCAAATGTCACTTTAGAGTCTCCAATAGCCCACTGATCGAAATTGGCATCATATCGAAGACCATAAAAGTGATCAATGTCGCCTTTGGTATCTTTAATCATTCGTTCGATATATTGGCGCGGCAAAACATGATACTGATTTAGAAATTGTTGAGCGGCGTCTTCAGTGTCGAGTAATTGTGATAAGTTAATCGTTTCAGTAGTGTCCTCATCTTCACCTTCTTTCCCGTTATCATACGCTATGTTACTAATCTCATCAGTTTCGATAAAATTAAGTCGTTTAGCAGCTGCTGTGATTGGTCCATTTTCAGAGCGCTGTGGTGTTCGGAACTGTTCTTCTTCTTGAATTGGGGTAGATTCATATTCGATTTTATGTTCAACTTTCGGTATCATATTACGTATTTTGGGTTCTTGCTTAGCTATCTTTTTAAGTGGTTCTACTATTGGCTTATATGTTGCTTCAACCAAGCGTTGAGTTTCAAGCTCGCCTCTTTTTAGCACTTCAAGCTTACGCTTGATAGCATTGCGGGTCTTCGTCAATTTCTGCTTTATCGTTTTATCTCTTGCGTTCATCTTTATGGCCTACACAGATTTTCAAACTGGCACCGGTTCAAATAGCTGTTGGACCGGATCGCAAAGCCGATTGATAGCTGTTGGACTAGTTGGCAAAGCAGATGAACCAGTTGGGAAAGCTGATAGACCAGTTGACAAAGCAGTTGGACCAGTTGGCAAAGCTAATGGACCAGTTGGCAAAGCTGATAGACCAGTTGACAAAGCACTTGGACCAGTTGGCAAAGCTGATGGACCAGTTGGCAAAGCAGTTGGACCAGTTGGCAAAGCTGATGTACCAGTTGGAAAAGCTGATGGACAAAGCCGTTGGATAGCTGTTGGACCGGTTCTATTAAATCAGATTATAATCTAATATAGCAGTCGAACCCTTTTCGATATCTACCATAGTCAAAGTCTTTCACTATACAGATAAAATTATACTTATCGATCCAACACTTTGAACACATTAATTTAAACTGATCAAAGGTCATATCTGTACCAACGTGCTCGTCATACACATGTTTTAAATTTAAATAGTCTTGTTTGAATAGAACAATAACGTTAACATTATCGCGTATTAATTGTTTCGGTATCTTTGAATATGTTTGACAAAGATAGAATGAGTCCACCCCGGAATGTCGTCCTCTGCAGAAGTAATCTCTAATTACGTCTTGATTTAGACAGGCCACGTCATCAAAGATCATTATCGAATTCTTATTAATCTCTTCGAGAGTGATTACGTCAGCCTTATCGCTAAAAGCATTGTACTCAATACCCTTGATAGGTGTAAGTATTTGCTCCAGGTACTTGTACTTTGGCTGCTCTAGCGACTTTGAGTATACATACACGTTTTCAAACGAAAGGCCGTGCGGTGCTTCCAATAAACTAATCATGACATTTGTCTTTCCGCACCCCGAAGGACCGCAGATCACTGCTCTAATTGATGCTGGAAATAAAGGCCCATGCCTCCCCACTACTTCTGATTTTAGAAAATCGTGATTATCTACGTTTAAATGTTGAGGCTGCTTTATAAACATCATTATTAGTCGCTGGTTCTAGTTATACTAACAGTTCATGGCTAATCACCGAGTAAGAAAGGGGTTGATTAACACTTTAATAAACAAATTACCAGTAGAACTTCATATTCCCGGATATCAGTACTGCGGCCCTGGAACAAAGTTGGAACAGCGTTTAGCTCGCGGTGATTCTGGAATAAATCCGTTGGATGCTGCATGTAAACAACACGATATCGCGTACGGTCAATTCAAAGACTTAGAGCATCGCCATCAAGCTGACAAGGACCTTCAAAACCAAGCTTGGAGTCGCATAAAATCGAAAGATTCGAGTTTTGGAGAAAAAACTGCCGCTTTAGCCGTAGCCGCCGCGATGAAAGTTAAAAGGAAGCTAGGAATGGGAGTTACGCAACGCAAGAAGAAAGAAAGAAAAATGAAGCTTAAGAGTTGCTCGTTTAGAGGAGGAATTCTATCGCATGCTCGAAATTCAATAAGGCGGATGAAAGATGCAAGCATAAAGAAACTTGTCGATGTGAGTTTGGCCGTGGCAAAGAAAGCGGTTAAAGTAGCGGGCGGTAAAAAGAAGGTGCGAGTGCCGAGAGTTATTCCTATACCTAAAATTGGCGGCTTTCTTCCTTTCCTTATACCGCTATTTGCGGGCCTTTCGGCTGCCGGTGCACTAGCTGGTGGAGCAAGTGGGATAGCTAAAGCGGTTAACGAAGCATCTGCAGCTAAGAAGGAATTGGAAGAGAGTCAACGTCATAATGCCACAATGGAGGCTGTAGCGTTGGGCAAGAAAAGCGGTGGAGCACTCTACCTTAAGCCATATAAGAAGGGTTACGCCTTATATTTGAAACCTTTTCCAAAAAACGACTAAACTTGCCGCGGAAAGCATTAACCAATTTCGATCTGCATAAATACGCTAAAAATGTACCGTTCTTTAGAGGAGTATTCATGCGCAACACATTACCTCAAAAGCCCCATTTTAACGAATGCGCTATTGTGAACCTGGATGATAGCCAGGGAAGAGGTACTCATTGGGTTGCTTACAAGAAACGCGGCAGGAAAGCGGTTTACTATGATAGTTTTGGAGACTTAGGCCCTCCAAATGAAATAGTTAAATACTTAAAAGGTTGTAAGATTGTTTATAATTATGATAGAGAGCAAAACTATAACACGTTTATATGTGGACACTTGTGTTTAAACTTTCTGTATAATAAATAATTTACATCTAAAACGCTAGTTTTCATTTCTACCTATCAATCATGTCTCGAACGTTCACGCTAACGGGTGTAGGAAACGTGCTCAGTACTACGTATTTCCCACCAATAGAGCTTGACTCGAGTTTCCAATATGGCTTGGGATTGGTGGGATTTTACGGATGCAATTCTATACGAAATATATTCGAAGGTAATAATAAATTTTATTATACATCGAACGATGCAAAGGAACAAGAGATTACAATTCCAAGTGGAGCATATGAAATTGAAGAGATCAATAGGTATTTGCAGAAATATATTAACCAACCAAACGACTCGATGGATTTTATCTTAAGACCCAACAATAATACCTTAAAGTGCGAAATGGAAACCAAACACAATGTTGATTTTACCAAGACGGGTTCTATTGGGCGCATGCTCGGATTCTCGCCATCTATTTACAAAGGAGGTATGGTTCACGAGTCCGACTTGGATGTGCAAATAGTCAACGCCACAAATATACATGTTGAGTGCAATTTAACCGGAGGAGCGTATCGGAATAGTGAAAAATCTCACACCATTTTTGAATTCGACGTGCACGTTGAACCAGGCTATCGTATGGTCAAGGAACCCACCAGCATTATATATTTACCCGTACTTACCCATCAAATTGATAACATTACCTTGCGATTGCTTGACCAAGAAGGTAAACTAGTGGACTTTGGTGAAGAAAAAGTGACTATTAGATTGGAATTGAAAAAATATGGGCCTTAAAATCTTTTACAAGAGCGGATCTTCACTCAGTCAGGCTTCGCGTACAGACGAGCAAACATCGTCGGGTGCATTAACTGAAAACGACGTAAAGTTTCTGGAATATCTTGGTTACAAAGTACTCCGAAAATATGGAAGAAGCGCTGAAAAATCTCTTCAGTAGCGTAAAGTATGAGGATATGATTGTGGAATGCGATCGGCGAACCTACCATCCTTACTCGACGAATGCTTATGGTAACTCGGACGAAATCAATCTTGTAATTCAAAAGGCGGATCTTATCACGGCCACCTACGATAGCGTGATCTACTTGGAGGGAACGCTTATACTTCATCGGAAGCGAAGCAGTTCGAGTTGACCAACAATGCTCCACTATTTCTCTTCGATGAAATTAGATTTACGCTGGGAGATCAAGTGATAGAAATCGTGAGATTACCCGGAATAAACAGCGCAATCAAGGGATTTTGTTCCTATACAACGGACCAAAGTAATTGTTTATCACAAGCAGGATGGAGTCCCCGCAATAAACCTCTGCAACTCCTAAACGCCAACAAGACAGCCTTCTGTGCATCTATACCGCTAAAACATGTGCTAGGATTCGCGGAAGGGTATAAAAAACCATTAGTCAACATACGACAAGAACTAACATTAATTCGCTCAAAAACCGATGAAGACTGTTATAAAAGCGAAGCGGAGGTGAAAATTAGCCTTAGTAAAGTAACCTGGAAGGTTCCATACGTAATTCCTAACGATTCCATGAAGCTGTCTATATACAGTAGAATTGATAAAAATGTTCCGATCCAAGTAGCATTTCACGCTAGAGATTTATATGCGTATCCAGCATTGCCATCAACCCGCTCTTTGGTATGGCCGGTAAAAAGTAGCACCGGTTTTCAACGACCTCAATGGCTTCTGGTGGCCTTTCAGACTAAGAAACGAAACCAAAAAGGAGAGAATGCATCGCAGTTCGATCATTTAGGCGTCGAAAATATAAAAGCGAACATCAACAACAGAAGATACCCGTATGAGCAGCAGAATCTCTCCTTCGCGGACAACAAGTATATAGATGCCTACGAAGAATATCTAAACTTTCGGACGCAATACTACGATTCTGAAAGTAGTTCTCTTCTCAGTTACGAGGAGTTTAAGAAACAACCAATATTCGTAATCAACTGTACTCGTCACAATGAAAGTATTCATAATGTGGTTATCGACTTGAAACTGGAAGTTGAAACATCTGAAGCATTTGCAGCCGACACCTCCGCTTACTGTATAATTTTGCATGATGTTTTAATTGAATACGAGCCATTTACTAATATAGTACGTAAAATTTAATTTGCATATGCGATTTTAATGTAGCTATTGCGAAAATATATAATACATTTTGAAAATGGTGCTTTTCTTTTCCCTATTTATATATAAACAACAAACTTATCACCAAACTATTTTATTGTTTCTCCTTCAGCATTTTCTCGGTTACATCTTTTACAAATCTTTGAGGGTGAATATTTACAATTTCTGCTAAAAATGAAAAAATCTCTTAAACATGAGTGTGCAACCAACTTTTTTAGTAACTTAAGATTTTGACAGAAAAATTTTCCTCTTGACAAAATGTTTTGTTCATCGAACAGACCGTCCTTGCAAAGATCATCCGCTACTTCATCCGCAAAGTCCTGATAGTACCAGTACGTCGAATAATCGCTTAGAAAATCCAATTTTTGATGTACAAAATGTACAGCGGAGAGGAAACGATTTACGGCTTCTTCGGTTAGCACTATGGAATTGAATCCTTGACTTATTCTTATACCCCTACTACCATTTTCACAGTCAGCCAACGTAATTTTTATACCGTACCCTACGAACACTTCATGTTCCAACTGGTCGGTACTTTTAAGCATGAGTCGAATGTTGTGCTCGGTTTTAATAGCGGAAATATCGCTCCATTCGGAAATATTAAAATGCAAACAACTTTCTCGGAGTGGAGGGCAAAATATCTGCACCACTGGCTCGAAACTATTCCTCAATGAATTTCCCACTTCTAGCAAAGTTGAGCAATCGAGAAACATGGACCATGTTGATATTAAATCTTCTGCTCCTACAAGAAACAGCGGGCTTAATTAGTAGGGTCATAATTATTTTCACCATGATCATATTACCTGTATGTGCCTCGACTATCTTCGGGGAGGGATTATCGACCCAAGTAAGGTTAATATTTGGATCATCATTCCAATAAATCATCCATAATGTCTGCTATTCTCGTAACTAATGAATTTTAATGTAAATGTTGTTTGCTTTTATACGCTAATTTGTAGGTATACCGCTTTAGCACTAAATTCGTAATACGCGGTTCGGGGGCTCATCATACTTAGGGGTCGTTCCCTTATTTCAAGGACATTGACCGAAGCATAAATACAAAGAATGTAATATTAGAATAATGCGTCTAAAAATAAAAATAAAGCATAAAGAAGATAAGATTTTTCGCACACGATTTAAGCGTCTTATCATAGCTGCTATAAATAAACACTATTGCGAGATTGCAGCTTCCCATCCTAATTATAATAACAAACAACTAAATTTCGCACCCGCGCCGCTAATGATTTATTGTAATGATTGTATTTTGTCAAAGCATATTCGAAAACCAATGTCATATTAGAATGTAATATTAGAATAATGCGTCTAAAAATAAAGCATAAAGAAGATAAGCTCATTTCCTTTCTAGTTAGCAATATGAATAATTATTTTTCGCACACGAGCGTCGTACGTATTATTTTATCATTTTAACGCGCTTCCCCGCCAAATAGCCCCTAGCCCCTAGCCCCTAGCCCCTATCGGCGACACACCCCCGCGTTATACCCTTCTACAACTCGCAAACATCTCAACGCTCTCCGTAGCGTTGTGTGGCTTGTGAGCTTATACGGCCATTCTAACAATACTTGAACTGCTAAACGTTCATATCTCAAAGCCTCGCTTAGCTCAGATGGTTAAGGCGGCAGATTCGTAATTCACGTATCGTGGGTTCGATTCCCAACGCAGATTGAAAAAAAAAAATTTTTGTCTATAGCAATCACGTGACCGATGACGCGATTCCAAAATAACATCCAAGATGGCGGATGGAGCGAGAGAGGCAGACAGACAGACGGTCAAAAATGGCGCCCAACAAAATGGCGGGATTAGATACTAATAAAATGGCGGCCGATCCAAGATGGAGGATTTAGTGACTAATAAAATGGCGACCAATCCAAGATGGCGGAAATAGAAACTAACAAAATGGCGACCAATCCAAGATGGCGGAAATAGAAACTAACAAAATGGCGACCAATCCAAGATGGAGGATTTAGTGACTAATAAAATGGCGCCCAACAAAATGGCGGGATTAGAGACTAATAAAATGACTACCGATCCAAGATGGCGGAATTAGAAACTAAGAGATGGAATTATAGGTTAGAATGAGGGTCCTCGCACCTGTCTCCTGAAATTACAATTTCCTACCCTATACCTATATGTCACATCAATCTAATAGAGGGAGTCGATTGAAAATATACCTCTATATGCATTACGACGCCAATAGATGGCACCTCCGTACCATTTAATATATCTATGATTTAATAATATTTAGAGGTTCGTTATAAATACAACTATCGAAGCATTATATCATACAAGTCTAGTTAGCCTAGTGGTTATGCTATAGGACTTGTAATCCGATGGTTGGCGGTTCGAATCCGTTCCATTTAAAAAAATCTTCAGGAGGTTCGATATAAATACAACTATCCAAGCATTATATCATACAAGTCTAGTTAGCCTAGTGGTTATGCTATAGGACTTGTAATCCAATGGTTGGCGGTTCGAATCCGTTCCATTTAACAAATTAACAAAGTTTTCAGGGTACGAAGGGGTCGAAGTTTGAGGATTCCAAGATGGCGTCCAAGAACTTGAGGATTCCAAGAACTTGAGGATTTCAAGAACTTGAGGATTCCAAGAACTTGAGGATTCCAAGAACTTGAGGATTCCAAGAACTTGAGGATTCCAAGATGGCGTCCAAATGACGCCTGCGCAGACGCCTGCGCAAAGGGGCGGGGCGCGCATGCGCACATCCAAACTGCTCCAAAAACACCCAAATGAACCTTAGAAATTCCCATAAGAAATAACATGGGATTTCGACCAAAAGTGGCCTAGAACTCTCCTAGCCTATTTACTTACATAAATTTGATAAAACATGTAAAAAAAACAGGAGGTGAAGCACGGGAACCACCACCTCATTATGACCTATTACATAACATTTTGGGTGATAAACACAAAATAACATTAGGGCATATTAAGGATTCACTGCAATTAGCAGATACTCAAGATGAATTAAATGTAATCCATCAACCAGGGCTATCCACATCAGCGCCATTGTCTTCTCCTCAACCACAGCCATGTGCAACAACCCAGCAACCACTCACCCCCACGTCATCTTCCTCCCGATCACAGACACCCACATCATCTTCCCATCTACTCGAATCCTCTACCCCATTATCAAGATCCCATACACGACACCTAGATTCTCATTTCCATAATATACGTAAATCGGTAAAACCACCCAAAGCAGATGTCATACAAACATTATTGACGATGCATAAGGAAAACATTGATATGCAAACTTCCCAATTTAAGGTATTAGAAAACCTCATGACTACACAGAATAAATTGTTAGAGCAGCAAAATGCCCATAAAGCCACAATAGTTTCGTTATTTGAATCAATGGTTAAAAAAACTACAAGAAAAAGAAGAAGACATTCTAGTGATAGCGATGATGATGATTAAAAAATTGTTTATATTTTTATATGTATATCTATTCAAGCAAAATCAGTATTTATAATTTTTTTACAAAGGAATTAAAGAGTTTGTGATATCAAATCGCGTTTTCTAGTCCCTTCACGATCTCTACGGCCAATATAAGTATCACAACTATCATGTTCACTTGATGTGACATCTACTTCATATATATCACAAGTAAACAAGCAAAAATTATGCAGTATACAACATGCGGTTATAATATCAATAGCCTTTTCAATGGTATATACATTAACAAAATTTAAAATCCTCCAACGGCCTTTCAACATGCCGAAAGTATTTTCGATTACAACCCGTGTCACACTATGTGCGTAGTTGTGTTTCCGTTGCAGCGGCATAATTCCAGTGTTCCTAAACCACAACAATAAATACCTATGTGCAATTATTTGTATTTGTGTCTACCTATACGGAGTTATTAACCATGACCTTAATGGATATGCGGAATCTCCCACCAAGTGGTATCTACCGTAAAACAGATTGAAACAGTTAGTTTCACAGATTTTTCCCAAGTCCGATTCTCTAAGTATCTACAAAACTATTAACAGCATGATTGTAGGTTTGCATAAACTATCTTACTCGTGCATCATGCACAGATCCTGGATAACCAACAGAAATATTAGTAAATAATCTGGAGGAAATACACACTCCTTGAAGGGTAATGGAATGGCAAAACTTGCGATCCTGATAACTGTCATGCTGCTCCTTGGGTATTTTACAAGTTATGTGGCAACCGTCAATAGCACCAATCACATCTAGGAACAACATATTACGCTGATTGCTGTGCGGTTTAAAAATGTCCTTACCTGGATAATTACAACGCTGTTGAAAATCATTTGCAATTTGTTCGCAATCTTCCGCATTAGGCCACTTAATATAAATAGGCATAAGAGAGCAGATAACTTTAATAATTTTCATGGTAATATAGAAAGCTTTTGACACGCTAACATTAAATCTATCACTGATCGACACTAACGTTTCTCCTTTGGCAAGGTACCAGAGAGTGATTAGGATTTCTTTCTCTAGAGGTATTATTTCAAACCCTCCTCTGTATTTTTTTACTGTTAATTCTTTTCCAATTGCAGTGGTCAATTTGAAATATGTTGACTTTATCATTCGAAAATGAATAAAAAAATCGGTATCAAGATAGTTTGTTATCCATTCCTCATAACAAAGTGGCATACGAAAATGGCATTTCCTTTGCTTTTGCAATACAATAAATTTGGTCCACTCAGGAACGGCTTTTAATAGAAAATGCATTACTATGTGCACACTTGTGGTCAAAGTATCATCTATACAAAACTCTTCTAATAATGCATTCATCCACATACTATTATTACTTAATATCGACATAGGTACAAGTAAAAATTACAACAAAAACACAGAAACAAAACAAGGTTATGTTATGCCTAACTTTCGATTTTCAGGTGATCTTACTTCCATACAACCAATTACGTCATTAACGGTGATGTAATAGGTAACTTCCAGCATACTGGTACATACTCAGGTACACGTAAGTTACCTCGCAAGAAATCACTTATT